AATCGATTTAATAACTAATTATATTTACTCCAAAAAAATATTGAAATAATATAAGACAATTTTAAATTGACAAAGTTTTTTCCTTAATTATTTTTGAATATTGATATTAATTTTGTTAATATGAATATTTTCTCGATGAATTAAAACAAAAAATTAGTATATAAAAATTGTAATATCGGTCAATTTAGTTTGGTTAAAATAGTAATTGTATTTTTTGAGGAAAGCGGTGTTAGTTTTATGGATTTAATGTACCATTTTACATGATTAGAGATTAGGATCGAAATCTTCTCTTTTGTGTTTAACTTTGCATAAAAAACTTTCTTAATAAATCAAAAAATATTTTTTCTTATTAAATCTTTACAATAAAACAACATTGATATATTCATAAGTAAAAATAAATTTTATGGTGTATGTTATATGATATTTTATTGATTTAGATAAATATGAATTACTCGTAAATACACTTAATACTCCAAATAAAAAACATATTTTTTTAATAAAATTCTTTATAAAATGCATAATTTATTAAAGGCAAACATATAATATTACAAAAATTATGTTGAAAAATTCTAATAATTACACAATATTATTTTTAAATTTAGAAACATTTGTTGACAAGAATAAAATATTTTTTTAAATATCGTTTATAAAATATACACAAAATTATAATACACTTTTATGATAAATTGCATTTATAAATTATAACTTTACTAAATTTTGTTTTTTTTTTATAAATTCCGAGCAGCTAAATTTATTTTATAACCTTTTAGTTCTAATTAAAAAATTTAAATAATACCAGAAAAATGTGATTTATAGACAATGAATAGTATGATAAAGAAATATGTATATTAATTTTTGTTGTAAATAATATACATACAGAATACTCAATAAGTAAAGAAACTGATAAATTATTATGAAAAATGAAATAAATTATTTTTTTACCTTCCTTTTTGATCAACCTTTAAAATTATTGTACGTACCAAACATGTAATTACATGTTAATAATTTATGATAAAAGACAGTCTTGGACAAGTTAATTTTAAAAAGTAATAGAATAAAAAATATTATGAGTTCCATTTTATTTTTCACTTGAAAAAAGGGCTGCTGTCTCATTTTTAGTATTATCACCAAAAACACGTATCTTTAGAAATAAAATTCGATCATAGAATAATCCCTTCACATACGACGACCCAAAACTAGTAAAAGATAATTGTATAATTATTAGTTACTTTTAAGTTATCTTATTCTTAGAGAACTTATTTGTGGTAACCCGGAGAAAGTTGAAAACAATTTTTGACGACATTTATTTTTGCTCAAAAACTGGTATAATCGTAAACTGGTTCAAAAATAAAGTAAGGTATAAAAAAAATAGTATAGGTATACTATTTTAGGTACTACTAAAAAGACAATATCCTCTAAAATAACTGAAATAACGTCACAGCATTGAATGATGTTTCTAGTTTAAATATGAAAACTTGATAGATCAAAAGAAAAATTCTTGATATAACAATAAATAATAGAAATAATGTAATAGAATAATACTTGTGCGTCTTAATTCTATGGTTTTACAAAATATATTTTCAATGAGTTATCTTTTAATTATACTAATAATGTACTTGATAAAATTAAATTTTAATCTTATGTACATTGTTTTAAAAACAATAAATAATTTGTTTGCCGTCCATTGGTGTAGGGTGGTCAAATATTTGGAGGGCTAAGCCCCACTTGACCCTCTCACATTTCTTCTATGAATATATATAATGTATACATGATTTTATTAAGTTTAAAAAAATAGAATAAAATCTCCTGTAAAATTGATAAAATGTGAATTACAAAGTTTTGCCGTATTACTGACGTCGTGTTAAATATAATACTATTTAGACAATCAATTTTTAAATAAATGGTTATTCTTACTATTGTTTCAATTGACATATATTTCAATTCTGTCTGAATATTAAGTGGTTATTTTTGAATTAAATTAATTCAATTATCTAATATATTTAGTTATATAATTTTATTATCTATTAGATTGAATGCAGTTATTAAATTTCTACCATTAACAAAGTAAAACGTATTAGTATCAACCTATTATTGAATTATTATCAGTAATACAATTTTTATTTGTATGATCAGTTGTATAATGGAGTTGATTCATAATAGTATAGAGAGATTTCGATGGATAACTTAACAAATGACTATAACGCAATATTAATAATAAATTCAATAAATCATGGATCGTGTTATTTATTCAAGTATAGTACAGTAAAAGTTGTATATAACATATGCCCAGTCAGATAAGAGGGTGCTACAAATAGAACATTATACAGTTTATACGTAAAACAGCTTGACCTACTCACACGAGGTTAATAGTATGTTACATGTAATTCTTGAACCAATATTTGTTATGGTGTCATATTACAATTGTAAAAGGTACATGGGGTCGGTGGACATACGGAGTCCTTGTTGTCTCTCTGTAGGAGGCTCTTGGTTAAGATAGCTTCCTGAATTACCGTAGTATCTATAGCCTAAGTGAATAAACTAACCATTTAACGAATACGATTTGTAATATTCAACTAATGGTACGCCAACTTTGTTTTAAAAATTTTACTACAAAATGTAATACTAAACAAATAATAATAAAAAAAAATGGTTAACCTTATTAAAGTATTGTCATATCCTTAATTTTTTTTTTTTAAGTAAAGTAATCTTGATACATTGAAGATAAGTAACGGTTACAGTTCGTAATAAATGTATTTGTATGAATTCATGAACTAATTTTTATTTAAATTAATTCATGAATACACATAATTTTTAAATTTATTAACTTTATTAATTTTATTAACGAATTGGTATTTATATTGCAAAAAAGTACCCGTTTTTTAGATTTTCCAAAACCTAACAGTAAACACATTTTAAAAGCATTTGCACTCAGAAAAAAAAGTTTTTAGATCAATAGAATGTCAAATTTTATTTAATGTGAAATGTGTAGTATTATATTCAAATTTGTGTACATTCAAACGATAATATTTTCCTCGTTTATAAAATTTTTATTTCAAAGCTATTGTATTTTTATTTAAAATAATAATATTACATTGGTTTGATATAGGTAGATTTTTATATTAACAAAAATATGTACTTTGAAAAAGCATAAGATGTAATAAAAAACCAATAAATTAGCCATTTGTTCAAAATTATTGTTCGATTAATTATAGTATATACATGCATATTGTGCATGTGCAAATGCATAATTCCAATATGACATAAACTTAATGGTGTACACAATGGGCGTCGAAACTATTTTTTACAATGACTAAAAATAGGTCTCCTTTTGACTTTTACAAAGCTAAAACATTTGTTTGAAATTACTTTGGTGAGTTTTAGAGATCATATAAAAAAAAAAATATCTGATAGTTTTTATTGCATTGTTAATAATTATTGATAATATACTAAAATCTAGTTTATCGGAAAAATTACCATATCATTAACTTTGCAAAATATTTAAATTCATGGGATATCTAAAATCAATCTCTTTAAGCAATATAACGTTTACTACATGAAAATTTAAAAGTATATAAATAAAGTACTGAATAAAAAACAAATTTAATCATTGATGAATACTCGATTAAAATTTTACTTTGGTCAATAAAATTTGCCACAATAAAATAAAAGAAACATAATACTATCAAATAATCACACAATCTGTAATCGATAAAAACTGATTTTTTTTTTCATTAAATTATTAAAAAATATATTTTAACTTCACCCAGATATTTAACAATAATAATTTATTATTTTTTAGTCATAACTTTTTTATTAGATTCAATTTGAAGGGCAAAAATATCAGTTTGCCCTACAAATCTTTAAATTCCGGTTACGGTGACACTGCGTTTTAGAATGTATATATATATATATTATATAAGTTAATAATTATAATTATTTTAGACACAAAATATTTTTAAGGTAATATTTTGGTATGGTTTTTAATTTATAACCTCTGTATATTTTAAAATTAACTACATATTCTATAAATTTGATATTATATTAAATCATACAATAAACATAGCTTAGATTTAATTTATTAATTTAATTTTACCTTATGGTTACTATACTTTACTTTTCATCAAAAGAAATGGATGAATGGATATTATTACTTTAAAAGTAAAATTTAACTATTATAATAACAGATAGCTATTAGATTAAATACATTATATCATTAAATTATTACTTAATTATTAATCTCTTAGAATTAATGTGTTAAGTAGAAGTTTAGGATAAGTGTGGCCGATCCCAAGTAGTTGAGATTAAGGCCAAGAAAAAAAAGAAGAACAATCTCTTAGAAATAATGAATATGTGTTATCTTAAAATCAAAGATATAATTTACTTGATTCATTAAATCGATATTATAAGCTTGAAATCATAATTCCTTTATTGTTCATTTTAAAACATTTGCCATTAATTTTGGTAAATATATTTTTGAGTGTGTAAATGTAATGGGTATCTACATTTTTTAAAACTTAAAAATATATAACTGAAAAAGGACTAAAAATTTGTGTATAAATATTTCAAATATAATATTACTTACCATTTTCAGCAAAACATACTGACTGTGGCTATTTAACTAAATATTTCTAATATTTTATAGTTTTTAATTTATGTTTTTAATTTTAAGCAATATTAGTGGATCCAAATAGTTGGAATTAAGGCGAGGAAAAAGAAGAATAATTTTAAGTAATATAGCCACGAGTAATAATTTCGTATTATAGGAATTTTCATTAATTTTAAAATCAGTATAGATGAGTCAATAAAACTTATAGGAGAGTAAAAAATAATTTTTTATTGTATGTAATGGTGTATACAACGCTATCTAGATTACTACTAACAATTTATTGTCTTCCCGCCAAAACTTTATCAATTTTTCTATAAGAAAAATGTTATCAATAACAAAACTAAAACTTTATTTAAACTTTAATAAAAAAAATTTTCATATATGACTAAAATTCATCAATTAGCGTTGTATTTTATTCTTACAGTGTGTGACTGCTTATACTTAAGTAAATTAATAGTATTATCATTATTAAAAAGTAAAAATTTTAAATAAAATAAATTGAATTTTATGTTACCTATTATATAAGTAACTTTTGTTGTATTATCATTGGTTTAATAATGGATATTTCTAATAATTCTCAATATTTTTCTACACAAAATCCTTCTTATGTGTATACAATTGGAGGAGTTAAAGTTGATATGCCAGTAAAACCTTATCCTTCTCAAGTGTCAATGATGGACAAAGTAAGTTTTGTTTTAATAAGACTACATTTAAATACAATGTCTTTATTAGAATCTCAGGACCCCTATTTAGTTATCTAATCAGTGCTCTTCAGTGGTATATTAAAAAAATGTTCAATAGAAAGTGTCTGTATAACTTTTAAAACATATAGGAGCTTCACCTCTACTTTCCCTAACAACTATAATTTATGTTATTGGGAGTGGAAATGGACCTTATTACTATCCCGTATATACAACTACTGTTATTCTTTGTTATTATATTAAACATTAAAATTTTCAAATGTCTTTTTGGCAAGTGAAATTTGACTTATTTTTATTTGACTTTTTATGATTGTCACTTAAAATTTTAGACCCGTGAAAGCTGCCTTGTCTGCCTAGGCCAAAATTGGTCCTGAATAAATATTAAAATTAAAATTAATTAATTAAATTTAGGTTATACGTGGTTGCCAAAAGCAGCAAAATTGTCTTTTGGAAAGCCCTACAGGTTCTGGAAAAACACTAGCGCTGTTATGTTCTGCATTATCTTGGCAAAAAGCTGAAAAAGGTTAGTCATTATATTTATGTTTCTTACATTTATAATTTATTATTAAAAAATTAATAATAATTTACTTAAAAAATACTCTAGTCTTTATCAAATAATGTGAAATATAGAAATTTTACCTGTATGAGTCATAGGTTTGTACACTAAATATTTTTTTATATTCTCTGCATAATGTAAGTTTCATAGTTTTTCATTAGAAGCTATTAATTTACTTAATCATTTACTAAATTTCAATGAAAAAGAAAAGTGTAAATCTGTTAGTAAATTAATTTAAGGGCCATATGAGTTACGTTTCCCCAAAATTCCTAGATATTTCCTTAGGTTTTAATACAATTAAAGTTTTGAATAATTGAATCTTTGTCTTTATTGAAGTCATAATAATTTATAAGATACTCCGATTTAGAAAATAATAGAATAAAAATATTTTATCACGTTTATTTTAAAATCTAGTTCTTAAAAAAATATTTAAACTCGGTAAAAATAACTACTGAATGTATAAAAGTTATCAATCTTATAATGTTATTTATAAGACTTAGGTGTCTGGAATATTTGGGGTGAAAACGGATTTTTTCAAAATTGATTAAGTAAGAGTAGAAAAAATCTCACATATTTAATAAATAGATTACTTTAACGTTATGACATACATTATTATTATAATTAACTGATAGTATAATTTATTTTACAATACTATCAATATTGAATTTAGGGTGTTCAAAGCATTTTATAAGTAGTATGTCTCCTAAACTACAACATAAACTTAAATATAATGAAATAGAATCATCTTTTTAATATATGTTATATTAGTTTTTAAAACTTAAAGGATAACTAAGTTAAGTTAACTTATCCTTTTATCACTGTTCTTAAATATGATATTACTTTAAATTTACTTTATTATTATTATTATTATTTTATTAAATCTATTATAAATTATAAACAAATCTGACAACTTCTTATCTATTTAACGTTTTTTAATTAATTTTTAAATATTTGTTCTATATTCTAAATTAATAATGAGTAATTTTTGGTTTTTAAACATTTATTTTATTTTATTCATGTGTTTATTTTTAAATACTGATTTCATTTATCAATAACAATTATATGATACATAAATTGTGTATTTATTAATTTTGTTCTCCAAGTAACTCTTTTAAATTTTGTTCTACTTAAAACTTTTAACTATTGATAATATAATGTGACGTAGTCGTTTGTATCGTTATGAATTCAAATTACACCCTAAAATGTGTTTTTTCCTTAAACATAACATTTCTATTATTTTCATTGATACCATTACATATTGTATATCCTTCGATTGCAAAAACAGGATTTATATCTGTTTCGAAATCATTCGACATCTGTTAAAATCCAAAACCAAATCGAAAAAACAGTACACATGAAAGATAAAGACTATTGTGTGGACAGAGAGCGTTTTTAATTTACTAGAAAAACACATCAATACCAGCAGTCCTATCTAAGTGGCACTTAGAGAAATGTTTTATTGTTATTCCGGTTTCCGATCGTATTTGATAAAGATCTTGATGAAACAAATACAGAACGATCTCTCGTTGTGTGGCGGTTCTTCTTAAGCTTCTGCAGCCACTGTTTGTATATTATCGTACCTACACAATGTTCAGTAAACAAGATTACTTCATTTCAAACACTTGACAGGTTGAATGCAATGAGTTTTGTTGGGTATTCCTTTTATTATTATTAATAATAGCCCCTAGTTGCAAATGTAATGCCACACACAAAATTTAGTCGACCTTCTTTTTACTTATCTAATTCTGTGTGAGTATTTTTTATTTTTCTTCATTCCTGAGTATTTTTTTTTTTACCTACAATGAACATTCTTTGAAAGGTTTAATTTATTTTTTCTCCGCTAGGTCAAACATTTTTTATACGCTTTTTTATTATTATTTTTATCCACATTTAAAAAAAATGTTTATAGCCGCGGTAGCTATTTAAATTGTAATTGCTATTTTAGTTTCCATGCGAAGCTATGGTATTGATTTTGTGATAATGTGTTTTTTTTTATGTCTATCCATGAAAATTCTCTGCTCTCACTGGACCGATTTCAATAAATAATGTGTAAAAAATACATGATTTTAATCTAGTTAAAGCCAAAAATCGGAAAAAATCCCTTACTTTAAAAATGTTGAGAAAAATATTTTAAATCTACGCTACTTTAAAAAACAGAATTAAAAACTATTATGCCTTTTTTTTTTAAAAACACTAATCCAAATGAAATTTTTATATAGTAAACTATAGACAAGAAGTTCTCCTTTTCTATGTTTTTTCTATCAAAGTTTAATGAAAAACTTATATACTGGAACGGTTTGAAAAAACTACTCATGTATGTAGAAAATTATATTTTGAGTCAACTTTTGAAAATGTTTCAAAAGGTGTGAGCAAAAAAAAACGCATTTTATCTAAAAAATTATTTAATTATAAATTATGTTTTACTAGATTTTTTGTACTTCATGTTCTTGTAGGATAGTAATTTATTGTTTTGCAGAAGAGTAGGCTGAACAATTACAAACATGTCCACTGCATTGTGTGTGTGTTATAAAACAAACTGATTCGCTTCAAAGCGTTTTTTGTAATAGTGATTTTTATTACTGTCGGACATCTTATACTTGTCTCAACAGTACCGCAACTCAGTGTGCTGGGTTTTCAAAACCCATTTATTTATTTTTATAATGAATTATTACTATGGTACACTAAGTTAATAAATAAAGTATATTCAAATTCTAAACAAGATCTAGTTTTAGTTATTATCGAGGTGGACATAATGCCCATACACTCATATTTTAAGCTAATTCCACTCATATTCACTACATTTTTTTTAGACCTGTTGGTCCATTGTACGCACCTCATACCGAATTGTCTTGATTCGGTTTACCCACCGAAGTGTTAATACATTACCAACCATAAAATCATCTCTAAAGATGACCAAAGAGTCCTGTCTTTCTGGCGAAATTAAGTATCTTTCTGGGAAACAAGATCTAATAAGAAACTTCATTTTTTTAAATATTTTTTGTAAAAGAAATCTAACTTTTATTTTATCCTGAAATAGTTAAAATCTCTGGGCCGTACCTAGTAGAATAAGAGAGCGACAAAACTAAAATAACCTTTTAATTTTTTCACTGCTGTTTTAAAATTATAAAATAGAAACAAGATTTATTTAGGTCTAGCCATATTTTCATAAGTGTTGACATACATTTTTTTCTAAAATACCTGTAGCCTAATACATAACCATGCAATTTTAATGTACTCTGAATACCTATTTACTACTAACTTATTTCCTTGGTAACCGAGTTTAAAGTTTTTCAATAATCTGCTAATTGTGTAAAAATTCAATTGTTAAATGTTATTAAATAGGTTGATTATTTTAATTTCTATGCTTCAATAGTGTTAAATCTTGATATATTTATTTATCTAACTTTATATATAGACTGATTGCAATCGTATTGGCTTAAACCACATTTTACCAAAAATGTTCAGATTCGGTTGATTTTAAGTATCCATAAGTTACATTCATATTTTTAGAAGAAAAAAATTGTTTACATCTTTTTTGTAACTATTTTTAAATATACTGTGTGATTTATTAAGATACTACCTCCATTTTTCATCAAATAATGTAATACCCATAAAAGTTTACCGATTATAATATGATTTATTTCTATAAATTATAGTAGACATCAATTTTATTGAAATAAAAATTTATTTCTCAGGGTAGATTTTCGGGGTTACTTTCGAAAGTTAAATGGGAGTCTATAATTATTTTTTACTATTAATTGGGAAATGGTGCCTTTAGAGTTAATATAATGTTTACTTAAAAACAACAGTAGTACACAAAGTAGATGAAATCTTATCTGGGCATTTTAATATAAATAAGAGCGTCGCCAAACACTTCCTACTTCTTACTTTTTCTAAATCTTTAAATGTTAACATCTCATAAAATAATACTACAAAAACTCATTATTTTAAAATTTTATTTAAACCATTCTTCAAATACAATCGGTTCTCATTTAGCTTTTAAAAGTTACTCTTAAAATCTACTCATAAAAATAATTTTTTAATAAAATTGATATATACTTGGGTTTATAAAAATTAATTCAATTTTAATCTGTAGATTTTTATGATATTCATGATTATTTATCCAGAAAATGGGAGATAGTATTTATAATAAATCACATTGCATATATTTCTCACTAATTCACTTTGTTAATGAATTTATTTTATTATATAGTTATTAATATTTATTTAAAAAAATACTTATGAATAATAACTTTTAAATTCAATATTCTTTAAAACATACTAAATCGATAATAAATATGCATCAGAAGTATAGTATTTATATAGTGCAATTAAGAAGGTTTATGATATTTCTACCGTGAATCTATGTATTTTTCAAGTATTTATTGCTTAGAGGATATGGTAATAAATTATTAATACATATAATCTTTTAAAAATTTTGGAGAGTCTTACAATTTAATTGTAAAAATGGTTAAAACGACTAATAGGTGTTTAGGTTTTTTTTACTTAAAATTAAATTTGATATGCGAATCCGTTATCATATACCTATTAAATAGATTATTAAAAGTATTGTGTTTTTTCATAATAATATAAAAACACAATACTTCTTTTCATTGAGAATAACAAAAAGTAATATTCACTGGACCGTGTAAAATAATAATAAAAAACTGAAGTTTACAATATATCTGTACTCTTTCAGTTTCTTCTCTGATGTATTGGTTTCGTTCAGCATAATGTCTGTTTTATGAAAATCGAGGTTTGTGATCACCTTATGTTCATAGAAATAAAAAGTTGGGGTTAAAATGTTCTTGCACAATAGAGATGGTTGGTTAGAGGGGAATTTCTCATATTGCGCGCATCATTTTTTGAAGTATACCCATCATAAATATGTCTGTAAAACACCCTATAAGATGATAGGGTCTCTTTGTAATGTCTTATTTCCAATTGGCCAATTCCGGTTAGATCGC